CCCCCCCCCCCCCCTCCCCGGAGAGCTGTGTGCTGTCCCCATTTTAGCAGTGGGAACGTTGAGGTCGGGAACTTGTCCGAGGCACAGCGTCAAGTGGCAGAGCGGGGCTCCCCGCCAGCGCTGCCCACCGTCAGGGTCCGCGGGTGGCTTTTCTCCCGGCCCGCGTCGCCCAGCCTCCGAGCCCGCTGCCGGAGGAGCGCAGGAAGGGGACGGCTGGTTTCCCCCCCGGGCCTCGCCCTGGGGTGGATAGCTTCGAAAAGGACCTTGTGGTCTCCGGCTTGCGCGCCTCGTTTCGTCAGCGACACCTTTAACAGTCCAACTTTCCAGAGAGAAAAGGAAAGGAACCTAATGAAAACGCACCCTGGGGCCGCAGGGGTTCACGGCTGCTTCTGTGTAGTCGGTGGGATTGAGGCAGGGGCCAGGCAGGTGTGCGCCCGCGGGCGCTGCGCCTTTCTTTTGGAGGCCCCACCTGGACCGCCAGGAGCACCCCAGCGCTGAGTCCGAAGGGCGCTCAGGACTGGAGGGCTAGCCCCACGCAGGCCCGGCTCTACTTGGTCTCCTGGTAGAGCTGCAGCCCCCTAGGACAGGGTCCAGAGCCTGGACTGGGAGATCCGACCCTGACTCTGGCCAGGAAACTGCCTTTTGCCCAGACAGGACCCTTTGGGAAGGAGATCCCCTCTTAACCCGGAGACACTGGAGCCCCCAGGGCTACTATCTATTGCTATATTCGTATGGCCCCACTCAGGAAGTGCAAGTTTAATAATAGTCTGGGTGTCTCAGGTAACCAAGGGCTCACCTCCCTTTTCCGAAGAGCAGCCCTGATGGGAACTTGACTCCCAGGAGGAATCCTGGTCCCTTTCTTCCCCTCTACTTCCTTTCTCCAGAGGGGAGGGCTGAACTGGGCACAGTCTCTGAGCGGGGGCAGAAGGCTCCCCCCCTCCTCCGCCAGCCAGAGCTGAGCTGAGCTGGACAGGAATCTCAGGGCAGGAGAACGTGGGCAGTGAGGAAGCACTGCTTAGATTCACATCCTGACCCAGCCAGGATTCGCTGTGTGACCTCAGACAATGTGCTTAACCTCTCTGTGACTTGTTTAGCTCCTCAGTGAGGAGGAAAGAACGAAAAGTACCTGCCTCCAGAAATTATTGGGGGGAGCCAATGAATCTGCTGATGGAGAGGGCTTAACACAGAGGAAGGGCTTTCTAAAGGTAACTTCTGTTCTTATGGAAGGAAGTTCAGGGACATCACATGAGTTGACCTATAGGGATGGGGGCTGGGGACACTGTGAGTTGTGTGTCCCCTCCTCCCCTGAGTGCTGGCGGTTTTCTCAGGGGAAAAATTAGATTTCCATAAAGCTCAAGATGAGCACGGAGCAGAGATGTGAGCAGGCAGCCTTGGTGGGGTGATCAGAGGGGTGACAGCTCTCAGGGGGTGATCAGAGGGGTGACAGCTCTCGGGGGGTGATGCAGAGGTTAGGGGCATCGTGGATTGACTTTTCTGGATGCAGGGAACAGCCTTCTCTAACCCCTCTGATCTCTCCACTCAGAGGCTGCCCTACAGGGAGGAGCGCTCAGGAAGGGCCAGGGACTCTGCTCCAGTCTGTCCAACCGCTGAGATAGTCCGGGGCATATTTGTCACTGTTGTTTTTATGGTTGGTGTTTACTCATGTAAACAGTCTAAAATGGAGCCTATTGGATTCTTTTGACTTTCTGCCCTATTGGATTATAGACTGTTCCTAGATGCACCAGGAAGCGGCTCCTAGGACAGGTCATTGAGTTGGAGGTAATTAGCGGCTCGGCAGGATGAGCTGGCAAGAGGTGGTCTCATACTCCAAAGCGGGTCATTTGCTCTGCAGCTGAGACAGCCCCCGGCACCCAGGAGATGCCCACTGCATGCTTGTCGAAGGGGTTACTTTCTAACTCTAAGTCACGTTGCGCTTCAAATCTTGAGGGCAGGGACATATATGCGGAATTTCTACTCTCTCCGTCGTTGCCCTAGCAGGATCCTGGACTTGCAACAGGACCTCAGGAAATACTCGTAGGATTAACTGGGGGGGTTCCCAGTGGAATGACACTATTATTACCTACAATCCACCTGTAAGATACTCCCAGGATCCTGCTTGGGTTATGACTACCCTATACCCAGAGAAGACAAGAGAGGAAACGAAAAAGCCTTAGTAATTGAACTTCACCCCTAGTTATGTAGGTGACCTTAGCCAGTCACTTCCTTTTTGCCATCAGTTTCATGATCAGAGAAGGGAAGGACTGAGACTAGATGATTCCTTTCTAGAGGCCTATCTTGGACTTAATGCAGTGGCCAGGGTCAGAGCAGAGACCTGCCGGGTCCCTTTCTCTGCTGTGAGTTCACTGCTTAATTGGAAAAGGCATAGGCCCCTCCAGGCTCCTACATCTGTCAGGGCTTTCTGGTCGCCCTCAGGTTTGAAATTGCGGAGAATGCGCCTTGAGATCAAAGGCAGTAGGAAGGTGTTGGCTTGGTTCAGGGAGTCGTGGCCTGAATCCCTGAGTATTAACCGACACAGAACCTGGGCAAACTGTTCACCTCCTCCAACCTCTAAAATGGATGTCATCGTTACACCAACCTTCACAATCCAGTTTGTGATCAGGATTAAAAGATAGAATGTTGGTAATATATTGAATTGACCAAAATGTTCATTCGGATTTCTCCTTAACAGCTTGCAGAAAAACTCAAACTTTTGGGCCAGCCCAATACTTGCCCAGTGATTGGTATAAGTATTATAATTTCATGGTGCAATTATATACACAACAGGAAGTATTCAGCCTTCCTCAGCCTAGTCTAGGTCGGGCTTCCCCTGCCCTCTATTTATCTGTTTGTCTGTCTGTTGTAAATACTCTCCTTTGCTGCCTAGATTCATTGTTTTGAATAGTGACAGTGTCATTAGCTGGTGTTGCATCTGTTTTTATCCACTGTGCTCAGTTTTTATCCCTAATGCTCTGGTTATGCTGCAGAAGATCGTTTGGGCAGGTGAGAGATGTATTTCTAATACTGTCATTTTGGGGGAATAACATACTGTATTTTTCTAAACAGCTGAGTCCACCGAGGCCTTCTGAAGCAGCAGGCACAGACATTTTTGGAGAGACTAGCCCTTGAGCCTGATTTCTTTGGGAATCCAGCTCATAGGGAACCCATGGATTGGTCCTCATTTCTGAAATACTCCTTTACAGATTCCCTGCCAAGAAGCCTGGGGATACTAGGTGCCCTGTGTTTTGGGTCAAGGGAAGTCTTGGCCTAGCAGACGATTTGTACTTTGAAGGATTCAAAAGAGATAGAAGATTTGGTCCCTGACCCAAAAGCAAATGATTAGCCCATGGGAAACAAGACTTGCGTAAAAGAGGAAAGTGTATTGAAAATGCATTTTAAGAAATCGAGCTCTTGTTTCTAGATGTAAAGATGGTAAAGATTGAGTTTCCAAGGTTAGCAGCTCAGAGGACAAAGGGCCTGAGTGGACTGTGAAGAAAGGCAAGACGGGGCTTAACAAGCGAGAGTACGTCAGAGTGAGGGCCTCTCAGGAGACAGGCGATGGGGATGCCGGGGCGGGGCTGGGGGGAGGACGGAGAGGAACCCGCCATCCTGTTGTGCTGGGGGTGTGCGATCCGTGTGTGCAATGAACCAGCAAACTCCGGGCTTGGCTTTGAGCTTCTGTACCGGGACCCTCGCGGGCCTGGAGTCGGGGAGGCCTAGCAGGACATCAGGACTTTAGGAAGAGCAGCGAGGTTGAGTGGAGAAGGATCAGCCAGGAGTCTTGGAGCAGGACGGGAGGGCTGAGATGGCTGGGGCAGCCCTCGGGGGTGAAGGTCTGTAAGGCTGGAGACTTCTTCTGCCTTGGATTAGCTCTGGTTTAACTGTCGTACATGGCGATTGTTGGCTGTAGATTTTGACTCTTCCGTGGTTGGGGACCATCATCTGTTCTAACAAACTGCTGCAGACTTGGTGGCTTAAGACAGGAGAAGCTTCTCTCGCAGTCTGGAGGCCAGAGGTCTGAACTCAAAGTGTGGGCAGGACTGAGCTCCCTCTGGAGGTGCCAGAGAAGAGATTCTATGCTTCTAGCTCCTGCTGGTTGCCGGCTTCCTTGCTTGTGGCCGCATCACTCCTATCTCTGCCTGCATCTCATGTGTGTGTGTGTGTGTGCGTGCGTGCGTGTTCTTCTGTCTTTTATAAGGACACTTATCAGTGGGTTTAGGGCTGGCTTCCCAGGTGGCGCTGGTGGTGAAGAACTTGCTTGCCAATGCAGGAGACCCAAGAGACATAGGTTCAATCCTTGGGTCAGGAAGATCCCCTGGAGAAGGAAATGGCAATTCACTCCAGTATTCTTGCCTGGGAAATCCCATGGACAGAGGAGCCTGTTAAGAGTAGGACGTGAGGTGGCAAAGAGTAG